GCCACTGTGACCATGTGAGCAAGCATGGAGACACTTACCAAGGGATAGGATGCTCATATAGAGATGTCAAGGAGAGGTGGGAATGGGCAGGCACAGGGAAGGGAAAGGCAGGTATAGCAGAGGCTGTGCAGTGAGCGAAGTCTGTAGCCAGACACCATGAAAAGCTAGGGACAAGAAACAATTTAGTGTACTCAGAGCACAAAGGGCCAGCTAGGGGTCGTAAAAGAGAAGTGAGACTGGAGACAGTGTGGGCAGAGCCAGTGTACCAGTGATTCACACTTTATGGAATGCTGCTGTGTCTCCCCATAGTGGAAAGCCTAAGACCCCAAGACTCTGAGGCAGAGGTGATTTGTATGAGGTTGCACAGTCAGTTGAGAGTCATTCTAAACTAGGGAAGGAATTCTGGCCCTGTTCCCAGGTGTGCCACTGACCTGCAGGTGTCCGGAGGAGAGTTGCAGGAGGAGATAATCAGCCTGGCCTGCTGCCAGGAGAAGCAGGGCTTCAGGCTGGTAGGTAGAAAACTGGAGCTGCAGGTCTATGTCGGTCAGGGCTGTGGGCACAGGCACCTCCAGGTGGTTCTCCCCAAAGAAGGAGGCTGAGGAGAGAGGGAGCTATGGTCAAGGTCAGGCTCCTCCAGGACGAGACATGTACCACACAGATAGATAGGTGGGCTGCAGGGAGGTGATTCCATGCTGATGCCCCATGAGTCTATGTATCTCTGCCCAGGGGCAGTTTTAAGATCCCAGCAGTTAGTGGTGGTGTCTGCTTTTAATCCCAGCACTTGGGAGGCAGAGGCAGGTGGATTTCTGTTAGTTGAGACTAGCCTGGTCTACAAACCAAGTTTCAGGGCTATGTAGTGAGACCTTGCCTCAAAAATTGCATAAAAAATTTAAAATCCCAGCAATTCAGGTTTCCTTAGAGCTTCCTGATCCACAGTTCTCTACCTCCTCTGGGCTCCAGAGGAATCTCCATCCTGGGTCTGGTCCCTCCCTGGGGAAGCCAAGTTGTCCTGATCATCTAGCTTGGTGGGCGTAGCCTCCAGGAATAGAGTTTCAGGCAGACCTTCCACCAATGCATTGATCTGTGCTCACAGTTTTTCTCCTAAGGGCCCTTCTAGGTGGGCTTCTGGTACCCCTTGCCATGCCATGTTGCACCCCTATGGCTGGCTGTGGCTAGAGCTGGTTTCAGACAGGCAACCCCTCCATCTCTGCTTCTCTCAGGCTATTCTCCCAGTGCCTTTGGGGATGCAGTGAGGATGGGGGCAGATTATTGCTCTTAGCCTGCCAAGGAGCAAAGGTTCCCAGGCCAGATGGAAAGCACATGTAGTGTCAGACTCAAAATGGGCCAACGCTTCCTCCATTACCCCTGAGATTGCTTCCTGGTGCAGAGCTATCATCAGTCTCTGAGGAGTAGTCATATCCGGCCTCTCTGTTTCCATCTAAGGCTAAGGAGCCAGGGAAGACTAACAGTCGAGTTCCCCTTTGCTAGGTCAAGCCAGGGTTGAATCTGAATATAAGGCCTGGAAGGGACCACAGGTCTGCCAGCCAGACCAAAGAAGGCCTCCCTAGATGGCAGGCCAGAGCTGGACTGCCCAGGGCTAGTGATCACCATGCAGGTCTCTTTATATCATACTGGGTCACTTCTTTCTTTGAAGCAGCTACTTCCTCGAGGGAGTTTCCTAAAATTAACATTCCTCCATTTCTAATCTGCCACCACAATATCTGATCCATTCTTTTTGTGATGATTAAGACCTTGATTACCTGTAGATGTCTAGGGCTGGGGGCAGATTGGAGTAGGAGGAAAAGAGATATTCCTCTTAGGCTTCCCTGAAACCCCAGGGGCCAGTCAGGATGATAACTCTAATAGGGATGATCTGACATCAGCTACAAGCATGCTGGGCCCTGGCCTGCCTGAGCCAGCTGATATCCGCCTGAGGAAGCGGCATCAGCCACTGGTGGGGCCTGTGCCTTTTCTGCCCCAGGAGGGCTGGCCAAGAAAGATAATGCTATTCTCAGGACTGAGCTGAAATCCCCTCTGGTGGTTCTTGGTACCTGGAGCTAAAGGGATAGAATGAGGACAAGGCCATCTGCCCAGGTATGGTGGCAGGCTGTGCAGGCCTGGCATAGTTTATGCCAGGGAACTTCTGATCAGGAAGCTGGCAGGTGGTGGGTACCCATGGGGGTTGGGGGGCACCTTATCTGCTTGAGCAAAATGCCAACAGGCTAAGCCAATGGTAGCCACAGCACAGAGGGTGGGGCACACAGCCCCTGCAGGATGGAGCCACCACCGTGGTAGGCTGGAGTAGCTTGGAGCAGCTGGCAAGAGCTGAGCATTAAATTTTCAGGAAGTTTGTGAGCCAGGTGATACTGCCCACAGTGAGAATATTTATATCGTACAAAGAGGTAAACATTTCAAATCAGGGCTGGTCTGCTCACCACCCACAAGGAAGAGGGCACATCTATCTCTCCTGGGTGGGAGTGATCCCTCTCACATTCCCTTGCATGGAAGGTATATGTTAACTTCCTAGGCCATGGATGATGCCAGAGCCCTGGGCCAGGCAGACACCAAGGTACATGGCTAGTTTTAGCCACTGGACCACCTGCCCCTGTTCCCTCCCCACAGGAGAAAGCAGCAGCCTGTTTGGCTAGAGTGGGAGGATGGCAGGAAGCAGAGGTACTTTCCAGAGAGCTGGGGTCTGAATGAGCCCATTGAGGGGCTGAGCTCTGCTGTTTCCTGTGGGGAGAAGAACTCACACTGGCTGCCTTGTGCTGCAGGAGTGTGCAGGCCAGGCAGCCCCCTTGTCCTAACAGAGGCTTCTGAAGCCAAGCTGGCTGGGGCTTTGGAAACTCTGACAGCATTATCCCTCACCTCCATACTTCTGCCCTTCTTAGTACTTCTGATAGGCTGTATCCAGAATCACTGTCTTTAGGCAAGGGGCAGTTGGACAGAAACTTTCACATAGAGAGTAGGATGAAGAAGTAATAAGCTAGGAGTCAATCCCAGAGAACTTCTTGGAGGAGCTGAAGGTGGCATAGAGCATCACAGAGGAAGGGGAGTAAGTGGTCTCAGAGACAAAGACCAGGGAAAGGCACATTCCTTCTGGGTGGGGCAACAAAGGCTTCTGTCTCCATGTTCCCTAGTGGTTCTTGATAACTCAAAAGCAGAGAGGGTGAGTGATGTGGGCTGAAGGGTGGGGTGATGGGTGGTGGTGTGTGTTTAGGTCAAGCTTTCTGCATGGGAGGAGCAGGATACCCTGGGGAAAAATAGGAGAGGCAGGAAGGCTGCTGCTTGTGTGGGCTTCTCTGTGTGGAGGAAGGTTGCAGGTGAGTGTCCAGGGCTATGCAGATGTGCAGTTGTGTGTGCATGAGTGTGTGGGTGGCTGCTGGGGGGGTGGTATCTTTGGGTTTGTGTAAGGCTATGTGTTTGTGTATGGGCATGAGGGCCCGGAGTTGCCAGTACAGAGGAGTGATTGTGCCCAGCCTGTCCTCCTCTTGCCTGCTTGCAGTTACTTGGCTGGGCCTGGCTCCCTTAAAGAGTCCATGTGTTCTTGGAGGGCTCCTGCCCCTCCTATCCCAGAGATCTCCTGAAGGTGGGGAAGTCTTCGTGGCTTCCCACCCTTCCTTTCATGAACAGGGCTCTGCTGTCTGAGCCCCAGGGTGGAGTGGCTCCATGCTTTTCCTGAAACCCAGGGTTAGAGGCACAGAAAGAGCCTGTATCCAGCCCTACCAATCCCCTTCTCAGATGGGCAGGTGAAGCCTGGGTCAGTCTGCTAGCCAGCCATTCTCTGGCAGGACCTGGATTGTGCTGATGTCTCCTGGCTCCCTGGGGTGGCATTCCGGGAAGTGTGTTGATGGGGATCTGGCCCCTGCCCCATAGAACTCTTAGCACAAGACTGTGGCTTCTACCACTTCATAGTCTTTTAAAAAAAATTGTGGGGTGGGGCTGGAGAGATGGCTCAGCGGTTAAGAGCACTGGCTGTTCTTGCAGAGGACTTGGATTCAGGTCTCAGCACCCACATGGCAGCTAACAACTGTCTATAACTCCAGTTCCAGGGGATCCAACACCCCTCTTCTGGCCTCTGTGGGCACTGCATGACACCGGTGCACATACATGCAGGCAAAATACACATAAAATAAAATAAAATAAAATAAAAAAATCATGAGTTAAAAAAAGATTTTTTTTATAACTTTAAAAAATTATGTATATGTGTGTATGTACCTGTGCATATGGGTGCCTGTGGAGGCTAGAGGCATCAGGGCTCCGTAGAGTTGTGTGAGCCACCAAAGGTGGGTTCTGGGAATTGAACTTGGGTCCTCTGCATGAGCATTATGTGTTTTTTTTTTGCAGGGGGGAGGTCTTTTTGAGACAAAGTCTCTCTGTAGACCCCAGTTGGCCTTGAACTCATTATGTAGACCAGGCTGGCCTTGATCTCACAGAGATCTGCCTGCCCCTGCCTCCCAAGCACTGGGATCAAAGGCATGTGCCACCACGCCTGGCAGTACAGTATGGGCTCTTAACTACTGATCCATCTTTCTAACCCCCTTTTAAGGTCTTTTTGTTTTTTTAAAAATATTTTATTTATTACTTAAAAAATTTATGTGTATGAATGTAAGTGCACCTGGGTGTGCAGTGCCTATGGAGGCCAGAAGAGGACGTCAGCTTCTCTGGAACTGGAGTTAAGGATGGTTGTTATCCACCATGTGGGTGCTGGAAACCAAACCCACATCCTCTGCAAGAGCAGCCAGTGCTCTTACTGCTGAGCCATCCTTTCATCTCCTAAGATTTACTTCTTATGATGCCCAGCCTGCTGCTTCTCAACAGGCTCTTGGGATAAGGGTCACTATGTGGGGAGTACCTCTGTGCCTTAGCCTCTCTCTGCCAGGCTAGGAGCAAGGTCTCCAGAACAGATGCATTTCCTACTCCTGGGTGCTGCAACAGACCCAGCACCTCCAATTCCTCAGAACCCTGTACAACCTACCATCTCTCTATTTTGTCCCATTTCTCTCTGCCTCTATCTATGCCTTTCAGCCTTGCCCTCTGCCCACCTCAGGCCTCTGATTCCTCCTGGTCTCGTTTCTTGCTAGTTTTGTCTTTGACTCTCCCTGTCCCCACCTTTCTGTAACCAGGAGTAATATTTCTTGACCTAGGATGAAATGGAGAGTTAGGCTTCTGGAGCCTCCAGCTACCCCTGTCCTAGGCCTCCCTACCTTCCCTACTCTTGGAGAGCAAGTCTCACATCAAAGTTCTCTGCAGCCCAGGCCTGCAGTAGGCTCCACTTCCCAGACACATGGTGGTTACAGAGGAGAAGCCATCTGATAACAGCTGCAGAAAGACAGGCTTCAGGTCCTAGCTCAACAACTATCTAACCCTCTCCCAGACCATCCCCACAGCACCCCATTCCCCAGCAGTGGACCCGTGAGCTCCTGCTACTCCCCTCCATAGGTTGGGGCAGTCAGACGGGCCCCACAGCCAGCCTGCGTCACGGGCAGTGGCAGCATTCCTGGGTGTCTGCCGTCGCCTGACTTTATAAGGGAGAAAGTGGGAACCCAGAGCTGCTGGGCAGGATGGGCAGTAGGAGTGCCTACCGCCCAGCTG